CTCATTTGTCGGTTATAAGTAGTATAAGAGTATCTCTAATGTTATGGCTTCGAAAGACAATGATATTTAACACATGTCAATTAATGATTGTTATGTTAATGCACATAGGAATACTGTTAAGAGATTAAAAATTTGAATCAAAGTAGTATCTCCGATGAATGAATTTGATAAGAAGTTATTTGTATAGGTGGATCAGTTAAAATAATTCATTGATACAAGAACAATAAAAAATAAAAATAAAAAATAAAGTGCATTGATGAGTCATCATGTTTAACATGGTGTTAAATATTAACAAGTGGGTTCAACATTGTCAGCATTAAATGTCATTCATTTCATCATGAAAGAGTTCATGGCAAGATGCATTGAAGAATAAATTGGTAAGACATTTTCAAATATTGGAGAATAAAAATGCTCATCAAAAGATATGTATGATCCAGATTAATTGACATTTTGCTGCAATGTGTTGCGTGGATAGGAATTTTGAAATGTCTATGAATATTTTACCCGTCAAGTTGTGCTATTGACAATAATGTTCCAGATTAATTGAGGTTTTGCTGCAAGGTGTTTGCGTGGATTGGCATTTTAAAAGGGCTATGAATATTTTACCCGTCATCTGTGTTGTTTTTTTCTTCTTCTTTTTTTNTCAACGTCAAATAAAATAAAATTACTTAATGAAGATGTCTTACAATACGAGGCCTAAATAGGCACAACAGTTACCCTAACACACACATACATATGCTCGGGCAACACAGAATGATGTTCACAAATCACGTTGTAGAGCCATCTTGGCTATAGAAATACAATCTACTACAAGAACTAACATCAAATACAAACTCACGATGACTAAAAAAATTTAGTAAAGACTTGAAGCTCAAAGCCACATTATCCAGCTGCTCCAATTCTGCATGAGAGCCTTGAACCAGCTCCACTACCTCCTTGTTGTCCACATGGTAGGTAATATGCTTCCACTTCTTCTTCTTGGCTTGATCAAGTACCCAACACAATCCTACATTGTATGCCTCCACTGAATTTCCTATGAAATCCCTAGATGTATCCCACAGTTGTAGAACTCTGTCAAAGTTTAAAAGCTTTACCTCCCATTCACATTCTTCCATTTCTGGCCTAGCAACTAACAACTATATCAATCTCCTCATCATTCCTTCTCCACCCACCCCTGCCTAACCTATTGTCCACTTCAACCCTATCAATCTCCTCACGTGTGCTGTTGTTCCAAATTAATTGTCGTTTTACTGCAACGTGTTTGTGTCGATTGGCATTTTAAAAGGGCTACGAATCTTTTACCCATCATGTTGTGTTATTGATAATAATGTGGAAAATTTTTTGTGAATTAGGAAGAGATTTTGTCGTTCGATTTTTAAAAGAAATTGTTCGAGGTAAAGTTCGATTGATTTTTTTTTTTTTTTNGTGATTCCTAACATTTTTTTTTTGTAAAATTGGAAGACTTCATGATATATTTTCCAAATAAATTATTGGAGGGCAAGTTTTAGTGGCGATTGAATATTGGAGATGCATTTGGACGCTATATAATATTTTATTAGGGTTGCCGAGCAGATAAACAATTTGTAAATACATAGGTATAATAGGTGTTGTTGAATTAAATGAGCCTAGCTCGGCTCGACTTGAGCTCGAGGCCTTACGAGCAGAGCTCGAGATCAGTTAAAGCTCGTTTGGTTAATGAGTCGAGCTAAACTCGACTCAAAAAGGCTCAAAAGAGATTTCTAATACAATTTTCTATAATTCGGTTCGTTAAAACTCGAGATGAGATTCTTTAGGCTCAATCTTGGCTTGTTAACAGTGATAAATGAGTTGAGTTTGAGCTCGGTTTCTGGCCCATTTATTTAACGAGCCGAGCTCTGATCGGCTCATTTACACACCTAAAATTGGTATCAATATTTTTTTTTTTTTTTTTAATTTCAATCTTTGAATGGAATACTGTCCAGTTTTAATAACCGTGGGAGCATGTAAATGATTTATTTGTTAAGAAAAGTGACAAGTTTTAGATGTTTAGATAATATTTGATTTTGTATATGCTTGAATATTATTTTTTTTTTCTCTCACTTGTCAGTTATAAGCATTATAAGAGTATCTATAATGCTATGACTTTGAAAGACAATGATTTTTAACACATGTCAATCAATGATTGTTATGTTAATCCACATAGGAATAATGTTGAAAGATTAAAAATTTGAGTCAAACTAGTATCTCCCATAATGAATTTGATAAGAAGTTATTTGTATAGGTGGACCAATTAAAATAATTTATTTATACAAGAACAATAAGAAATTAAATAAAAAATAAAGTGAATTGATGAGTCATCATATTTAACATGGTGTTAGTGTTAGGATAAATAGAACCCAATAGTTAGACATTCAAAAGTGGGCTCAACATTGTCAACATTAAATGTCATTCATCATCATGAAAGAGTTCATGACAAGATGCATTGGAGAATAAATTGGTAAGACACTTTCAAAAATTGGAGAATAAAAATGCTCATCAAAAGATATGTATGATCCAGATT